TAACATAGATGTATCATCTTTTTTTTTTTAATTTTCTAATTTAACGGTCAATATTATATTATCAGTAGCTCATTGACTGAAAAAATTGAGCTTCGACTCATCACCAGCTCTAAAATAAATGGCAAGGAAAATAAAAAAACAAATACATTAATAAATAATAATATACTTATAATTTTAATATTTCATCATATTTAAAAAAATTATTTATACTTACTATTATAATTGTAAATATTCTATTAATTCATTGTATGTTTTTTTTTTTTGCTCATCCACTACGGTTTATATATTATTGGGTTTTAGTAAAACAACACTTTACCTTAGGACTTAGGTGAGAAAAATATTAAACAGTTGAAAAAATATGATTAAATCAATTTTTACTGTCAGTCATACCTAACGATAACATTTCAAAAGGAAATGGCTATATGATGTCTCAATTCGTACACATCCATATTTATTATATATTTAGTGTTCTTAATATGTTGATGATATATTATGTAGTTAATAGTTACAGAAACAATATATTTATTTATGTACATTCATTTTTTAATATCCGTCTCATCACTTTTTAGGTTTATGAACTACCACTGGACAGTTTATATTTCTCATTCCCTAAAACACATTAATTGCAATAATATACGTTGAAGTGCTGAACTTTGTAAGATATACAATAAAACTTTGTTATACTTAGTGCGTTTCCTGCTATAGCGTGGATTTAAATCAGTCCCTCGGTGAATCCATCCGCTTTTCGGAATTTTCAGAAACAACGATTTTGTTTCCAACTTCTCAGATTTGAAACTGTTGTTAAATATATGATATAATAGACTAAGAGCTAAGAAATAAAAAACCATATTTTAATTAAAACTGATTATATGTATATAATATATGCATTACACGGATATATATGTACATGCACACACACAAAAATATACTGGTATGTATTTATGTACGCTTTCCATAAAAAATGAATTATATTTTATTGGATTTATTGAACTATAATGATCAAAGATTATTTTATTTTATTTAATTAAGTTAAGAAACACTATAAAATTTATAATTATCATGTCTCGCAATGTAATTATATAATATATTGAATGATGTTCTTACCAAAATTAATCTAAAAAATAAAATAATAGATAATATATTTACAGTTAAATTAATAAGGTAGGTACAGTAAAGTCAGTAACTGCAATTCATTGTTTTTTTTTTTCAATTTCTAATCAAGTTAAAATTTACATTTAATGTTTGGATCTCTGTCCCTATATGTGTATTTATAGACGATATAAGTAGATATTTTAACGGTTTTATATCAATTTTAATGTTTTTTTGCTATATTAACTATTTATTTTTAACACTATCAAAATTGTCTATCTATGATACAGAAGATTCTTGTACTACCTACAATCATTTGGTTGTTGTAAAAAAAAATTTTCATGAAAAAAAGATACATTATTATACATATAAAATCAATATAATATGTACTCGTGTTAATATATGTTGTAAACTATTTGTAAAAATATAATATTATTAATTATGTACGTGGGTTTGTAGATATACAAAAATGTATAGCAAAAAAAAAAAAAAAGATAAATAAACAAAATAACTTAAGTGTATTCTAACAGAAAAGTCTTCCTGTTTGCAATTTTATTAAATAATAAAAAAATGTTGGTATTTCAATATAATATATATATACATTTATTTTTAAATAATGTGATTGTAACAAAATTTTAATTTTTATATATGGCTAAATTTTAATGTCCGTTTATATAATATTTAATAGTTAACAGTTATTTTGCAAGTTTAAATTCTACTTATTTATAATCATTTAATAAGATTGAGATAAGCAAGTAACCCTACCATTAGTCATTATAGTTTATCTACATACTGCCTTAAATATTAAGAAGATTGAAATGTATACATTTTACTCTGATCAACTATAAGGTTTACGTTAAATAGATACATTTTAAAATGGACAAATTTATTGACTCAATATTGAATTACTTATCATTGAATAAAAACGGTATTTTTTCATTATAAAATTTATTTGAAATATTACGAAATCTTTTCAGTCAAAACATAAAAAGTAATTCTCGTAAATGGATCAAAATTCATGTTCAAAACGAATTCCGTTTAACCTGCCCAGCACTGTTTTGAAGCGATATCATCTTTTGTGTCGTGTTGAGTGACTTAAAAAATAGTGACCGTATAATATTGATTGATATTTGCCTACGCGTACGGATGTAGACCGATTAAAAATAAGCCATTCGTACGAACGGCTGATAAAATATCCAGATTAGACTCACTATATAATATAGCTACTAATTCGTATCTATACCAATTTACTTGTTACACACTAACTCGTTACCAAAATATTTTCATCAAATCAATTCGCCATGTTTTTTTCTTTATAAGTATAGTACCTACGACCGACTTTAGCCCTTTAAACGTATTTTTATTTCAATTATATTATTTAATTTATTTTAATGCCAATAAATATTTCAATGTCTTTAAATTTACTACATGGATGTGCACATACGTGTTTTTTTTTTAATCGGGAATTACATAAAAATTGAAAATTGCGTTATAACAGTCACAAATCCGTACCCAGGCGCATAATGGTAAATATTTCTCCCAATTTTAAGCCGAAGAATTAGTTAATACAATTTGCCAATATATCATTACTTGGCGGACTGGTAGAATACCTGTCTATTATATTTATTATTAATTACATAAAATGATTTAATACTATTATTAACTACGACCGTGAATAATATTTTGTATTTTAATGAATTTCCTATATACCTATTGCAAATGTTCAAAAATATAACACATTAATAATTATGCTATCGTTAATTGCTGAAAAGAAGTCTTAAATATTGTGTAATATTATAACATTATTTGAAGATAATTTATCTAAAAAAGAATAGTAATTGTAAAAATAATATGATCAAATGTTTTTAAAATTTTAAAAAACATTAAATTTGTATAGTTTTATGTTAAATTATTACATTTTTTAACGGAATATGATGTATCAAAATGAAAATTATTGTATATTTCTAAAAACTAATGGATACGTAACAGCTCGCCTGTAACAACGATATTAAAATTAATTCTCATCAATAATTACCTACTAAAAATTTTGAATTTAAACTTTGAACCTATTAAAATGTGAAAATAATAGTTAATTATAAACATAAGTTTTCTATATCTTAATTATTAAAAAAAAATTCCGATTATTTGCTTTTAAATTTATTTAGCTTAATTTTATTGTCCAAATTTTGAAACATGGTACAATGTACAATATTTATTACACAAACTACAAATATTTATCTTATGAATGGCGACGATATTGAGTGAGATTTAGATTAGATAATGATATAGGTAATGTTTACTATTAAACGATGTATACCTACTTTATTCACAGTTAACTATTTTTCGTATAAGAAAAAAATTAAAAAGTATCACGTCATAATATTAGAGATTATTGTTGTTGATCCAAAACTACACTACCTATGCAGTTAGGTTTAGTGCATTAGTCTAAATAAAATGGGTGGTCCGTTCTATTTGATTAATACTATCAGATTTTAAACTTAAAACATGTTGTTTATAATTTTAATTTTATGTTTATAAGAAATTGGGATAGCGATCATGAATATCAATTTAAACATACTACACGTATCAGTATTTTTCTGTACCAGAGTAAAATACGATAATCATATAGATATAACTTAAAAAATAACGATAGTGAATGTATAGATAAAAAAAAAACACGTTATTATATTAATATTCTAAAAAAAATAAAAATTGACCATTCATTTTTAACTATTTATACAATATTTAACATAAAAACGTATGCTTATCAAATAAAAGTGACGAGGTTTATTAATATAATATTATAACATTAAAAAAAAAAAAATAGATATAGATACATTTTATTATGTGAAATATCATTTATAGGGTATCAGTCAGTATCTACTATTATTTTACACTGTATAAATTTAAATTATTTCACTGGCTAAAAAAAATGACATTCCACAGATATAATTTTTTATAGGTGCCAATAAAAAATAAAAAGTTAATTTTAGAATTATTCTTTCTCTAGAATTATTAATCTGTAATACAGATTTGTTAAAGCTATTATAAGTATTCGTACTCACGACATTTGTTAAATATAATTTGTTATTGGAGTAAAATAATTCATTATTATAATATATTTTTTTTTTTTATATAAATTAAAAATTGTTTCCGAAAACTATTATTAAATTTTTACGATTCTCTAACAATTTTTTTATCTATAAGCAATTATTTGTTAAAATGTTTAATTTACAGTACTAAAATTAGTAAAAAGTACTAATCAAACAAATATTAAAAAAAAAAAGAAAAAAAAAAGTCTATATAATATGTTTAACTAGGAAAAAATGAACCAAAATAGATCTTAAGATTAGTAATATGTTTTAAATTGTTCGTCATAGTGTTTATGAATATTTTCCAGCTGTCTAATTGTTAACAGTAAATATTTTAGTTAAACACTTAAACTTATGTATGAATTGTGTGATAATCATTATTATACGTACACTAAACTTCATTTTTTATTCGGTTTTTCTGTATTCAAGAGTTTTTAATGCTTAGTAAACTCCACACATTATAATTATTTATCTGTATGGGAAGAAACGGTACACTTGACGTGATATAACAGAATACAGAAACATATAAACTTTTCCTAGCTCTGTGTCAAGTGTTTCATTCAACGTTTACTTCTTTTATAATAATTTTTTTAAACCTTGACCCGTAGAAGGAGATGGTGTATAATATTATTCTGAATAAGTGTCTACCCCATATTGCCCTGTGGTTAAGAATTCCTGACAGCGTATACCTGTTAAATTACAGAGTAGTGCTCTGCGCAATGAGCATGTGTCAGAGCGTACTTTATTGTTTTATAAATACAGGTTTGATTTATATTCATATTTGTTTCATAGTTTCAAAACTTTTATATTTTACAGTACCCGTCGATCAAGTAGCAGTTCCGGTTGGCGGAAAAGCTTATCTGCCTTGTGACACACGAAACGAAGATTTGGGAAAGTCTACAGACTCTTCCGGATTTTTCATGGTTATGTGGTTTAAAGAACAGAAGGAAAATAACCCGATAGATCAAAGCTACGAACAAGCCGCGTCGTTATCTTCCTCAATTTTGTCCACTTCCGGTGAACCCATATTCACGTAAGTGTCTTTATTTTTTATATGATAATAAGGATTTAAGAAACTATTAATATTTTTAAAAGAATACTATGGTATAGTATCTATTGAAGTGCAAAAAATAAAATTAAGTATATAATATTTCGGATCTTAAAATACTGAACTTTAGACAAGTCAAATGCTAATAGATACATGACTATGCTGTTATATGTATGTAACATGTAAGGTGCGTATATAGTAAGAGAATATGTCGATTAATTCTTTAGGTACACTGTTTCATTAAATAACACATGTTAGAGGCGCGTTGTCTATTTAAATTTTAAATCAATGATTAATGGCCGTATTCAAAAACGATTATAAACATAGATTATTTACTGTTGAACAAACTATATAACATAGTAAAAATATTATAAGTATAAATTAAATTGATTCACAATTTTTAAGATTTT